ACCTTGTCTCAAAAAGAAAAAAAAGTCAGGGTAGTATAATAAGTATAATGAAAAGATTAGGAAGAAATGCTGTTGGAAATAGAGGAGATGCAAATGAAGTCTGTCTTCTGCCTGGGGGAGCAAAGACAAGTCTCAATGGCAGACAACCTGAATCTTAAAAGATTAAGAAGGGCTGGGCATGGTGGCGCACGCCTTTAATCCCAGCACTCGGGAGGCACAGGCAGTCAGATCTCTGTGAGTTCAAGGCCAGCCTGGTCTACATAGTGAGTTCCAAGCCAGCTAGGGCTACAGAGAGACCCTGTCTCAAAAAAAAAAAAAAAAAAAAAAAAAGATTAAGAAGGATAAGCAAGGGCTGGAGAGATGGCTCAGCGGTTAAGAGCACTGGCTGCTCTTGCAGAAGACCCACATTTAGTTCCCAGCTCCCAAATGGTGGTTAACAACCATCCCTAAGTCCCCTGGACTCCAGGTCCAGGGGATCTGACACCTTATTCTGACCTCCACAGGCATTGCATAACACAGGTGCACTTACATAAGTGCGGGCAAAACACTTGTACACATAAAATTAAAAAATCAACAAGTCAAAAAAAATTAAAAAGGGATATGCAGTACAAAACAGGGATGAGGTGTTCTAGTTGAAGAAACCAGGGTTTCTTCCAGGGACTTCCTACTGATAAGAAGGCTGACAGTAGGTCCTTAACAAATATACTTAGCTAATTGTCACCTTCTTTGATAGGCTGCTATGTTCGTCTATGAGGCACCATATAATCTGCCTATAGGCATGCAGGGGAGGGAAAAGAAGGTGCTCCTGTGTTTCTTTTAACATGTGGCAAGTTCCAGCCACATTCATGAAGTTAAGAACACCTACTCTGGCAGGGCCTGGTCCTCTCTCAGCATGGCCACCAGGGGGCAGCAAAGACTGGCCATGGCTGCAGACGAGGCCCAGTAAATTCAAGAGAGCAGACAGAGCTCATTGCACAAATACACTTAATTGGGAGATTTTTCAGGGGGAAAAAAGTGTTCAGACATTTGAAGAAAACTGGGTTTGTCTTAGAGACAGAATACGTCTCCTAAAATATGTATACATGTTAATAAATTCTTATTTTCTAAATTCTATAAATTGAAAGCACATATATATATATAATTTTTTGTCTTCTAGTTC